TAAAATTTTAAAGAATTTGCTTTTAAGGTTTTCAAAGAAGACTTTTAGTAAATACTTGTTAGAAATGTTATTTATAAAATTTGGTCGTGGAATTTAAATTCATTAAATTATGTGATAGTCGGTTGAATCTTACAATATATAATTCATTATGTTAGCGAGAAAGTGATTTCCTTTTTCATTAACATAAAATATTTTTTTGTAATTTCCACATTGTATTGTTTCTCATGAGCTTATTTTATAGGTCATTCGATCTGCACTACTATTTTAACAATATGCCGTTGTCATATGTGACAGACTGCTATCTAGGTCATGATGGAAATGAAACCTTTTATTAATAATATCTGTACTACCTCTGGGTAGTACTGACTCTGGTTCAGTACACAAATACTACTCTGGGTCACTCGCCCTACTCTATTCGAAAAAATGCCATTATCTGATGTGACAGGTTGATAATAACCTGCTTTTACCAACATTCTCTGTACCAACCCGCATGACTTTAAGTCAGTACAAAAATATTTACGCAAGGGTTCGGTGATCGGTGATCGAAAATAATAAATAGAAAAGAATATTCTGACATTCATCAAGTAGGCAGAATATTCATGTATATATTCAATATTTTAACTCCTAGGAGGAGTATAGGGCCTCAACAAAGATCTTCCACTCGGTATGATTGTTGGCTAATAGCTTTTACTCTTCGCAGCTTTTCGGCATATGTGACATTTTCATATTAATTTGCCTTCTCCAAGTCTGTGCAGGTCTGTCCCTTCTACTACCCATCGGGTTCCACTCAGTCGCCATTCTTGTAGTATCACCAGTCAGTCTACGCAAAGTGTGACCGACCCAGTCCCATTTGCGTTTTTTGATTTCGGTACTTATAGGTGTTTGTTAATTTAAAGACCTTAAAGAATGTTCATGTACTCTTCATATATACTTTTGTTTCGAAAGATGTATTAAGATTACTTTGCTTTTGCTTCATTAGAAACTTTCGTTCATAACATCTTCTGAAAAAATATTACGGACGTCTTATATAAAACATAATGCGTCTATAAATATATAAATACAAATAAAAATTTTTTATTATAATTATAGTTAGAATTATGTTTTTACTAGACGCTTTTCAGGAATATGTAATAAATACTGTAATTATTGAATAAATACTAAATAAATATTAAACACATTGAATGAAAAAATTTTAATAAACAAATGAGTATCATAACTATTATGCACAATTGTTATAAAAGAAATCGTATAATTATTAAACATTAGATAAAGTGATTTTAAAAAGTTAAAAAATAAAAGTTTTTTTTAAATATTGTAAAAAATGTTAAAAAATACGAAACTCTCTGAGAATTCCTCGCATTCGTTTGTCTTTTTTCTTAACATGTGTATGCAGTGCAGCTCTTACGGCAAAGCAAAACAAAAATTTTATTCAGTCTGCTTTTAACAACGGAATGGTGTGTGATCGTTAAGTTGTCGGATCGGCGGAGGTGTACGGTACTAGTCGTGCTGCATAGTCATGTAGACGAATGTTCCCAATGTTGATACTTGATTTTGTTCGTTGGAGATGTGTGAAATGCTTAATGTTTTATGGAATCTGAAATATGGAATATACAAGTGTGTAAAAACATCAAAATTATTTTACATAAAAAATATTTGTTAAAATATATACCATAAACGTTAAGAATGAATTTGCGGTTTTATGTTAAGTAAATTTTGTGACATCACTAATTGAAGAAGTTAACAAATAAAACTAGAAATGTGGCGGAAATTAATAATAAAGCCATAATTAATTATAATAATACTTAACAAAACAAAAAGAGAATGAGCGCGCAACTCCAAAGTAGGCAGCATTATCATTTTGTATCAATATGTTCGTGTGTATGTGAGTTGGTAAAAACCGCTAAAACAAAAAAAAGAAATTTGGAAAAAAAGCTATTAGAAATGTTTAGATTAAAAAGCAATAAAAAACTATGAGCGCGTGTTTGTTTATATGTAAGATTGTGCGTGCGTGCCAATGTTCATTGTAAAGTATTTAAAATTAAGTAAATATAAATATTAAAGAAAAATAATAATAAATAATTTAGGTAAAAGTTGAATTAAATAATATAAGTATCAGTGTGTTATCAGTAGTAAATATTATAATTCATGTACCAAAAATGGCACGCAAAATGAAAGCTATGAATGAAAGTGATTCGCCAACAACAACGCCGTTAATGGCGCAAAATATTGTTACCTCAGAAAAAGTCAAAGAAATTTTAACCAAAGATTTTACGGAACATGCAAATAACTCGGATAGTGAAATAATAGAAATTTCCAATATAACGGCCAAAAAGAATAAATCAACATTATTTTTAATTAAATCCTATAGTTTTAATGAAACAATCAAGCAAACCACACCGAAGCAAATCAATAAATTTGTAAATAAAATGAAAAGCTCAAAAGCTCCCATTAATGACAAAGTAGATGTTTATGATGATGATGAGGATTACAGTGAAATATTACGCAAACCGGCAAAAATATTTGAAAATGGCTTACCACCAACACCAAATACAACAACAAAAATAAAACAAAAATCTCGTCCTAAATCAATGCCAACAAATATTTCCGCGTCTGTTACTAATGCTGGCGTAGCCATTGTGTCTACCCCACGAACAAGTGTAAAGCGTAGCAGCGCATCTTTTATACGTCAAAGTTTTCAAACAATACGGCGTAGCTTTCGTACAACAAAAAAATTATATGAGAGTAGTAATGGGAAAAATGTTACAACTCCTAAAACAACAGCAACAACAACATCAATCGTAGCATCTTCGGTTTCGACCTCGTCAAATACAACAACAGCTTCGTCAACATCGTCAGCAGGTTCGACAATTGATTTTACGTTAGTCAATCAAGTAGGTGTGGAAGACGAAGAAGAGGATGCTATTTTTTATGAGGGTGTTGAGGGCGAAAATGGCGACATTGATGCTGCTGGTATTGTTATAATGCTTAATGGCATCGCAACGCAAATGTTTAATGAACAAAGTATGTGCAATGGCATTGGTACGGGGGATGCGTTAGCAGTACTTCAAGAGGAGGATGACACTGATTTAAGTACTAAACAAGCACAAGTGTCAACTAAAACAAATATAAAATCATTCTCAAAAACCCATAAAAGGTAAGTAAGATTTTATCGATTATTAATTTATAGATGAGTACGTTGATTTGTTAATAAATGTCAAGGTTAAACATGGGAAGAATATGTAATAAAAATAATAGAAAAAGTAGAAGAAAAAAACTAAATCAGAGGATTCATTGAAAATTTAAAAATAAATTTAATAAATGTGTAAATAATATATATACCATATATTAAATTTCTACTTAAGTTCAGGTTTTTTTTAAATATATAAAGTATCATATCATACATAAAGTATTATAAAGTGTCATATAATAACTACTATTAGTTGGATTTTTCGTAAAAGATGGTCTAAATATGTTCATAGGATTACTAATAAAACAACAGGTTTTCCAAAGTTGTACTCTTTTAATAGTGTGACATTGATCTGTAATATTTCGATACATTTTTTGGCATCAAAATTGGCCATACTTTGAAAATCACATCTTTATTGAAGTTAAATCTCTTTTTTTGAAACCTTGTTTTAGTTTTGTAAATAGACCTAGAGGTAGGTCCATGAAATACAGTAGATGGGTAAACAATCTAAAATGTTTTTTTTTTATTTTTGCTATTGTTGTGTTTGACTTGTTATTTAGCATCAACAACTTAGATCCGCGTTTCATTCTTTGTTATATACTAATACAAAAATTTATCTTATTCATACCATATTTAAATAATATGTGTACTGTCCTTATCGTTCTGAGAAGGTCACTGGGTCAAGAACTATTCTACCCTTCTGACATTAGGAGGTCCTCAATAGATGACATAGTGGCTTTCATTCGAAAGATGGTTAGGATCTGTTGCAGCACAGAAGATCAACTATAGCTGCGGTGCTTCGCTCCGTTGGGAGCTAATACCCTGTTCATTTCTTTTCTATTCTATTGTATCTTTGTCGACCTGGTCTAATAATAAGTTCAGAGGTTTCTGCGAGTTTATTAAAACGGTCCTGTTAATATTTTTGATTTAATTAAATTTCGTTTAAGCTAGGGGTGTATAGAAACAAATTCATAGAAAATACTTATTGCTTCTTACACATCAGAAATTGTAGATAAGATAAGGTCGATAAGATCGTGTAATATGATTAGAGATTCTTGCAAATTTATTAAAAGAGTTTCTGTCAATGCTTCTAGAGTTTATTACACTTCTTTGAAGCTAGTGGTGTATAGAAACTACTGCTGAGAAAATATGTATTACTTCTAACACTTCAAAAACTATAGAAACTTGGATGAAAAGAAATCAATAAAAAAAATTGATTTGTGCGTTAGCAAAGCTTTGGCTAACAGATAGTTTGTTGAACTGCTTAACGGTAAGGACAAACGATTTGTTAAATTATGTGATCTTCACAGAATTATTGTGATATTGTATATGGGTTGTTTTAGGTAAATGTGGCTTTATAATAAGGATCATTCGCCAATTATAACGACAACGGAGGACATTTGCTGATAAGCCGTTGCAATCAACAGTGCATAGTTGATTTTTAAATTCTTTGAAATAGTGCTCGGAGTTGTAAACAGGTGGTTCTGAAAAGAACTGTAAACAAATGCTGATTAGCCAGCAGTTGGCAACTGTTTTTAAACTTCCCTTTTCTCTCATCCAATACAATTTCATGGATATTATGGTGTTTATCAGAGTTGCCACCGATTGTAAGCATTCAGAGCGCTTGACATTATCGGTATCTATATGATCATGTTTTAACCCAAGCAAATCATATTTGAACATGATATAGTCACTTTTCTATTTCACTAAAAAGCAATGATTATACATTGCACATGAAATTCTGATTTTACCATTATTTTCAAGACTATAAATGTAGCAAATTGTCATCAAATTAAAAATCACATGAATTATGCAATGAAACTCATTGCATAATTTATTAAGTAAGAGACGTAAAATATAAATATAGCACAAGTTCTTTTACACCCTTTATATTATTATTACAAAAAATTTCAATAACAAATGTGTATATATATATTTATCTATTCTGGCCTTTGAAGTCATGACGTTAATATGCAAATTACAAAATATTAAATAGATAAAAACACAAAATATTTCATACGTAATACGTTCGTATTTATACACTATATGAAGACATGCAAATACCGTTTAGGAAGTAGGATGTTTATTGAATGCATATACCAAAAATGCAAATTACACCCAATAACTAAGGAATCCATAAAGTATTCCCAAACGATTTTTCAGTTTAAAAAGGCAATAAATTTCGCGTTTTTTTTTTCATGATAAATAAGCTTTCCGCACGTGATTATATTTTCACCGCAAATAAATTCGTATAAAAATTTCGTAAAGATTTTTATGCAATATTAAGAAGACCACCGCAGAGCTATTTGCAACGTAACACAGGAAAAAGAAAGATAATTACGACGTGGTTTTGATGCCATTTTCTGATAGTTGAACATGCGATACTCACCTACGAGTGCTAATACTGCTTGACTTTGGCACGAAAAGAGTCTTTACCTCACAGGTGCAGTAAATTTGATGGACACTACGACGTCATAAATTGCGATTGATTAGAAATATCCGCACATTAAATTTATAGCTATGATAGGTTTAACACTTTTAGATATTAGCCAAGGCAAAATACTCATGTATATAGTATAATTATATTTAATTGTTGTTGCCATAAACTGTAATTTATACTATCATGAGATCACACTGAAATTTTTTATTACCCTTTTAAATATATTTGTTAAAAATAAACAATATAAAGTTTGCACTCTTAGAAAGATTAGAGTAGATGAGATTAAATAGGTTGTTGGTGCGGTATACTCGTATGTATTAAATATATGTTATTTATATACAAAACAAACGATTTCAACTTAAATCAACCGCAAAATATCCATTTCTGCGCAATTATTATTTGATATTAGTGATTATATTCTATCAACCATTTTAAAATGTTTCGAAATTTGTTAAAGTTATTGTTAGATTTCAGTACCCTACTCCGGAAAGTTAAAGTTGTGGTACGGTATAAAAATGTGCGAATGTATTGAAAAATCTTGGCAAAATCCAGCTTATATAGACATAGAATTAAATAATGAAAATGTGTATGAAATAATGTTTCTAAAACAAAGACTATTGAAGAGCACACAGCAGTTATTTTAACAGTTGATTGTGTTTCTGCAAACTATTGGTTTATTAGCTTGGTCTAATAAGAAGCACTTGTTCCTTGTTTCGTTGTCTTCTAAAAAGTAAAATAAAACTTAAAGTTTGAATAATGCAATTTCGTATAGTCCCTGTCATTCATAGATAACAAATGAACGTTATTCAAAATATTACTTCAAAATTTCAACTGGTTTAAAGTTCTTAGTTGAAATACTTAGTCTTAATATTTGCAATCCCTAAAATTATATACGGTCAAATAAACCGATTATTTTTTTTCTAAAGATGATGACCGGTATTTGGCTATATGTAAAGCTGCGGTATGGTTAGACAAAAAATTCAATAATTATATAAAAAAAAAATGCATTGTTGCAATTTATTATTGTTAAATTTTTTTTATTTTATGGTGCTGTTTTATAACTCCTAAACCATTGTCCTAAATTTTATTTAATAAATAAAACTCTGTTTTTTTTTTTATAATTTATTATAGAATATATAAACCAACTTGTTTTTTTTTAATATTCTTTCGTGAAGATATAAATTAGATGCAGGACTTTCTCTCGATTGATAAAACGTCTTGCGCATCTATAAAGCAGTGAAACGTGAAGATAATGAATTAGCATTATGGGTGTTAGAGAGAAAAATTGTTCTAATAGATTTTTGGTCCTTTAAAAGTTGGTGACGAGTAACGCATGGTATGTACTTAACCATGATATTCAATGGTTTAAGCATGTCTTAAAAAAGGAAAACAATGTTTCAGCTTAAGGCGGTTGTTGGCGAAAAAATAATTAAGAGAAGTAGCAACGCCTACAAATGTTTTCCGCGTCAATGGATTGTTATAAAAATACAAATAACTGGATTAAGATATATGTCATTTTAAAGACCTTTGCACCTGGTAACTTTTTAAAACAAAAGCTTGCTATTAATGATGAAAAATTGATTAGATGGAAATAGTTCGTGTAAATGGAGAATATAAATTTTTCCTCGAGGAAAAAAGGTAAAATATTGTTTAACATATACTGTTTTGTGTTTACTTGATAAAAGTTCACTAGTAAAATAAATATCATGTTTATACAAATAGATCTCAAATTAATTGTATTATAATTGTGAGCATAAAGTTTAAATTTTTTTTACCTATTCATATGTTCAAGTTCAGTTTCATGTTAATTTTAATTATATATTTTATAATTATTGACCTTTGCTATTGAATTGTAGGTTAAAACAGATTGCTTTCAAATTTTGTATATTTTGCATATATATTTAATTACTTACGTCAAATGTTTCTTATCAACATTTGAAATATTTTGTTAATTATTTAAAGTTTAAAAATACAATTTTAATAATGTGAAATATGTAAAAATGCGGAAGCTGCTCTAACCTTTGTACATTTTTTATATAAAGAATAATGATGAATATGTATTAAACTATAATACTATATTCTTATTCTTTGTATTAAAAATTATATACAATTAATAAATATATTTAATATAAAACAATTGACCTACTTTAAAATGCCATTATATTAAAAATAAATTCATTTATTCATTTATTTATTAAAAAATGTTAACAAACTGACAAGTGCAATTGAATTACTTTATTTTCATTTACTATACAAATGTTCTCATGACAGATGGCATTTCTTTTGTATATGAAAACTTAAAATAATAAAAACAACACTGAAAGCAAAAATATCTGACAGAAAAATCACTTCTACAATTCACTTAGCATGTTGCAGTATATCACTCCAGCTTCATTATGTTATAACGTGTCTACAAAGAAGAATACTTATATGTCCCATATGTGTACTAAAATAGAATTTTAGGCCACTTTTGAAGTATCTGAATAGTGATTTTTATATAAAAGCAACTCTTCGTATTTTTGCATCA